ACAACTAGTACACTCACAATGAGTACACCCACAATGAGTACACTCACAATGAGTATACCCACAATGAGTACACTCACAATGAGTACACCCACAATGAGTACACCCACAATGAGTACACCCACAATGAGTACACCCACAATGAGTACACCCACAATTAGTACACCCACAATGAGTGCACCCACAATTAGTGTAACCACAATTAGTACACCCACAATGAGTACAACCACAACTAGTACACCCACAATTAGTACACCCACAATGAGTACACCCACAATGAGTACACCCACAACTAGTACACCCACAATGAGTACACCTACAATGAGTACACCCACAATGAGTACACCTACAATGAGTACACCCACAATGAGTACACCTACAATGAGTACACCCACAATGAGTACACCCACAATGAGTACACCCACAATGAGTACACCCACAATGAGTACACCTACAATGAGTACACCCACAACTAGTACACCCACAATGAGTACACCCACAATGAGTACACCCACAATGAGTACACCCACAATTAGTACACCCACAATGAGTACACCCACAATGAGTACATCCACAATTAGTACACCCACAATGAGTACACCCACAATGAGTACACCCACAATGAGTACACCCACAATGAGTACACCCACAATGAGTACACCCAAAATGAGTACACCCACAATGAGTACACTCACATTGAGTACACCCACAATCAGTACACCCACAATGAGTACACCCACAATGAGTACACTCACAATGAGTACACTCACAATGAGTACACCCACAATCAGTACACCCACAATGAGTACACCCACATTGAGTACACCCACAATGAGTACACCCACAATTAGTACACCCACAATGAGTACACCCACATTGAGTACACCCACAATGAGTACACCCACAATTAGTACACCCACAATGAGTACACCCACAATTAGTACACCCACAATGAGTACACCCACAACTAGTACACCCACAACGAGTACACCCACAATTAGTACACCCACAATGAGTACACCCACAATGAGTACACCCACAATGAGTACACCCACATTGAGTACACCCACAATTAGTACACCCACAACTAGTACACCCACAATTAGTACACCCACAATGAGTACACCCACAATTAGTACACCCACAATGAGTACACCCACAACTAGTACACCCACAACGAGTACACCCACAATTAGTACACCCACAATGAGTACACCCACAATGAGTACACCCACAATGAGTACACCCACATTGAGTACACCCACAATGAGTACACCCACAATTAGTACACCCACAATGAGTACACCCACATTGAGTACACCCACAACGAGTACACCCACAATTAGTACACCCACAATGAGTACACTCACAATAAGTACACCCACAATGAGTACACCCACAATGAGTACACCCACAATGAGTTCACCCACAATTAGTACACTCACAATGAGTACACCCACAACTAGTACACCCACAACGAGTACACCCACAATGAGTACACCCACAATGAGTACACCCACAATCAGTACACCCACAATTAGTACACCCACAACTAGTAGACCCACCGAGGCTTTGCTCCGTCGCAGAAACTGCGCGCGTCCTCCAAGCGTCCGCCGCGGCTTCCCTCTCGCCCGTGCGGGTAGTCCACTTTGAGCAGTTCAGTGGCGCAAGGCGCAAGGCGACGGCTTGAAAGACCCCAGCGGTCACAGTGGCTCTGGGTTGAAGTGGGTGCGTGGGTGGACGCAGTCGCGTGCGGCCAGGCAGAGGGTGCCATGCCCTGCACAATCCCCCCCCCCCACCTCTCTGGTGGCCAAATCAACGAGTTGCAGGCCCCACTTGACAAACATCAACAGTAAAACAAGTATAACCCGTAAAAACAAAGTTTTTCACTATAAATCCTTTATATGCGTGGCGGCTAGAGTCCTCTCGTCCTCTGGCTTGAGATGGCTGCCACCTATGGGTCAGATGATTGCCTGCCACCATTAAGCAATTGGTAATTAAATAGAAAAAAAAATTCCTAAAAAGTGTAAAGTTATGGGAAAAAAATTTCACGAAAATAAATTGTCACGCACAACGAGTCTGTGTGCAAAATGTCAGCTCGATTGGATCACGGGAAGTGGGTTAAAAAACGACCGAAAGATTTGCACGGTCGTAAGCGCGCAAGCGCTTACGATTTGAAGCTTTCGTGACTGCAAGGATTCATACTCTTAAGGTTTTTTCGGTAAAGTCACGTAGGTAAAAAATAAAATTTAAAGTTAATAAAAGTAATAATGGAAATAAAATAATAAATCACGACGTTTTGGAAGCAACACAAGTCTCCCACCTGATGACGGAGACTTGTATTTTATTTCCATTATTTTAATTTTATTTTTTACCTACGTGACTTTACCGAAAAAACTTAAGAGTAGGTAACTTTTGCGCAGCTGTAGCGGCTGCATCTCGCGCCCCCTACAGCGTCAGCTATTCGAGACCATGAGCGTGACGACCGCGTGATTAAGGCGAGAGGGGAGGCCTCGATATATTATCGCCTAGGTGCGACCGTGCGATGAGACAAATTAAACATTGGCGGCTCCCATATGACCGATTTGCTGCACCGCCTGAGCTGATAATTGGAGTCGCCACGCCACTGAGCGGACGATAAACACAGGACCTGGGATCAGATGTCACCGCCGCTGATGCAAATCGTTGGACGGTGAATCGAACTCAGATCGCTCGCTGGGGTCAAAGTGCAGTTGCGGCTTAACCGCCGGGCCACACCGCTAACATAGCCGCGAATAAGTATGCATTATTTAAAACTGAAATTTGTAATACGATAAAAATAACATTACATTAAAGGCTGTGAGGGGGGGGGGGGGGGACCCATTTGCCCTGTTGACAGAGAAAGGGAGAAATGTTGTAAACATCACGGCTGGTGCTCGCTCTTACTTAAACATCCGAGGCAACTCCCCAGACGGCATGACCTCCATTAGAACACGGTCAAGTTGGTGGGGGAGGGGGGTAGAACTTCCAAGCATCTTTCTCTATTCTTTAAATAGTCTTACCCGATCTAGCACAGCCAAAGTCGCGTTGTAGCCACCCGTGATGGATATGTTTTTTTTATTATATGCGGATAATGCATGTTGTCTCTGTAATGAAAATATTAGCGGAAGTCATGTTGTCGGGATTTCTTTTTGCATAATGAAGTGATACAATGTAATATATTTATGTATGCGTGTTTACCCAGTAGGGCGCTGTCAAAGCTTTATTTAATTTTTCTCGCGGTAGGAGGGGCGATGATTGTTGCTCGCAATGTGTTATCCCAATCGAGGGATGTTTTTTTTATATTGGCCACGATGGCGATTTGTGAACTACCTCGCCTGGTATACAGGAGGTCCTGAGTTCCAACCCGACTCTGACGACTGTTTATTTGGAGTTTGCGTGTTCTCTCTCTCTCTCCACGTGGTCACATGGATTTTTCTCCGGGTCCTCTGGGTTTTCTCATTTAGTATCAACGTGCGTTGAGGATTTTTGCAAGACATTTGCGCGTGATAAGCCACGTGTTTGAGCTGTAAATGTGTGGCCAAGTCGCTTCTCAAAAATAGCTACATAGCTCAGTGGGCCTTACCTGGTTAAATATAAAGAGCTTAGTTGTGTTGTAGTTTACAACCTGGAGAAACGCCAGCTACATCAGCGTGAGAACTTACAAGGTCTATATACAATTGGAACCTCCTTTGCCAGTAGCAAAATATGATAATTGGTTTTTTACCCTTTTATCTGGCAACAAAACTGACGCCTTTTTTACACAGAGTCATGTTTTCATTGACCACAATACATGCGGTCAGAATGCAAACAAAAAGCACACAACTCTGATAATGTATGCACTGTCCTTGAAATTGATTGGTCCAACACATTGATTGTGGACCAACACCATGTGAGACGAGGCTCTAAGAAAAGCTGTCTCGAGTGTGGACCAATCAATTTCAAGGACAGTGCATTCATTATCAGAGTTGTGTATTTTGTTTGCATTCCGACCTCAGGTATTGTGGTCAATGCAAACATGACTCAAGGTCTATATACTTACAAAAATACAAATATCCACGGTTATAGCCTTATAAGACTTTTGGGGCAAGTGCTGTTTGTGAGCACCTACGAAGGCCGGCACGGCACACGAGAGGGTGGGTGGGTGGCCAGCACCTCTCTCGGCCGCCTTTTTCTCCCTAGTGGAAATGTTTACATGTCGAATCAGGTCGTCATTTGAGGTTGAGTCGACCTAGGGGAGGCTCCGGACTGGTTCAGATAATCGCTGTCACCTGGTGTGGTCCATTGCAACATCTGTGACCCCTCAGGCACACGAAACGTCCTCCTTGTATGTTTACACGCGAGAGCAATAATTGCACAATGCATTCAGATATTTCTCAAATGTAATGCTGCTGTGAACGATTTTTTTAAAGTGATTTGGTCCACGCCAGCTTTCTTTTTACCGCAAATTAATTTAATTTAATATCGATTGTGTTTGCACGCTGCTCTTTTCTTCCCCCTGTAACGCAGTTGACTCTGCACTGATCTCTATTTGGTTGATTTTGCTCTGATCTCTATTTGGTTGATTTTGCACTGATCTCTATTTGGTTGATTTTGCTCTGATCTCTATTTGGTTGATTTTGCACTGATCTCTATTTGGTAGATTTTGCTCTGATCTCTATTTGGTTGATTTTGCTCTGATCTCTATTTGGTTGATTTTGCTCTGATCTCTATTTGGTAGATTTTGCACTGATCTCTATTTGGTTGATTTTGCTCTGATTTCTATTTGGTTGATTTTGCTCTGATTTCTATTTGGTTAGTTTTTCTCTGATCGCCATTTGCCTGTCTCTGCTCTGATCGCTATTCGCTTCATTACCTCACTCGTTTCCACCTCATCGCCTCTGCCGACAATTGGCGACGCTGGTCACTCACTCTCTCTCTCTTTACCAACGAGACTCCTCTCTCTCTCCTCACTCAACCGGTTGCCTCTGGTCGCAAACCCATAGGACGGGCACCGCGGCCCCCCCTCTCTGCCGGATTGGCTGCTCTGTGATCCATCTACGTCGGGCCTACGGGGAGTGCCCGTCGACTCGGACCGCGGGAGCCACACCGTCGCCTCGTGCTGCCCCGGGACCTTCTCTGTGCACGTGCTCGCCGATTGGGAGTCGCCGCGAGCCTGGCTCTTCCAAGATCCCTCCTCCAGGTGGGTCTCGTGTGGCACGGCGCCGTCCGGTTTAGCCTCGTCGTATTTGAATTTCGATTTAAAGCTTTCGTGACTGCAGGGATTCATATTCTTGGTTCTTTCGGTAAAGTCACGTGGGTGTACTAATTATTTTATTATTTCCCTTTTACGTGACTTTAACCGAAAGAACCAAGAATACTCATCGTATTTGTTAGCCGGGATGTTTTTTTTTTCTGTCGCGCGGCCACTCAAGACGCTGGATCCGTGGTCCGCTTGTCATTGTATCTCATTTGCGATCCTCCCCCACCACCCTCCCCCCCTCCTCCTCCTCTCCATTTCCCACGAGAATCCCATCTCTCTGACCGTCTGTCCATGCGTCTGTCTGTGCATCCGTCTCTCTGGCCATCTGTCCATGTGTCCGTCTACCTGTCTATCTATCCGTCCATCCATCTGTCCGTCTACCTGTCTATCCGTCCATCCATCTGTCCGTCTGTCCGCCCGTACGTCCATGCGTCTGTCCATCCATGCGTCCACACAATCTCTCTATCCGTCCGTGCACCAGTCCGCCCAAGAACGGGGCAGGCACATCCGGCGTAGAGATGGAGCGCTGCGCATCGGGCTCCTCCGCTGCCACCTTCGCGTCGCTGGTGCTCGAGGGCCGGGCCGAGTCCCTGAGCGCCGAGCGGCGGCTGCGGCTCATCTCGGTGCTGGCCCGCTACCTGCGCCTCGACCCCTACGCCGTGACGCTGGCGCCACTCGGGACGCCGTCGCAGCTGGCGCGCCTCAACCGCAGCGCGGTCGCCGCTAGTGGGGCCTTCGGGCCACGAGACGAGACCGGCCGGGCTGCGAGCCGTAAGGCCGCGCTGCCGACCGGCGGCGGCGGCGCTGGTGGGCCGGAGGAGAGTGCCGGTGCTTCGGGGCCAGTTCGGCTCCGCCTCCGAGACGCTTCGGAGCGCGAGGCGTCGGGCCCCGAGACGTTGGGCCCAGACCCGCGGGGCCGTGAGCTGCCGGGGCCGGAGGGCGGCCTCACGGAGGTATCGTGGCCCGTCGCCTGCGGCCCCTTTGAGCCGGCCACGGAGCTGGCCCAGGTGCTGTCGCACAGCGTCGCCTCGGGCCGGATGTCCGACGTGACGGGCCACGCAGTGGTCGGCTGGCGGGTGCTGGTCGAGAGCCGCGGCAGCGGCGGCGTCGATGGCGCCGACGCCAAAAGCGGCACGGCAACGTCGAGGAAGAGGATGCTCACGGCCACGGCCACGCCGGTGCTCATGCCGGCGACGACGAGGCTCCTGCCGGCGTTTGAGGCCGCCGCCAGTGATGCCGAGGGAGCGGTGGCAGTTGCCGCGTGCTGCGGTTTCGGTGTCGCCGTCGCCGCCGCAACCGCCGCCGCAACGGAGCTCTCCCCATCCCCCGTGCGCCTCTCCACTCCGCCCTCTGGCGATCAGACGGATTCAGACTCGTCGACCCAAGCCCCCTTCCCGAGCACGTGGCCCAGTCTGCATGACGCACAGGGGGTGGCCCGACCCGACGGCGGCGTCGCGCTGACGGGTCTCCACAGCTCAACGGTGCCCGTCGTCGGTGACCGCGCGTCGCCCTTTCCTCTCGCGCCACCCACGGTCCCCATCGCCGGCACGCCGGCGTATCCGTGCACTCCGACGGTGGGCCACTCCACCGGCGCCGGGCGCTCCAGTAGAACGGCTCCTCCCCCGTCGTGGAGAGGTTCTCCATCGCTCGGCAAGACAATCGCACGCGCGTCCCAGCCTCGCTCCGGCCGCGTCGCGCCGTCGTCCGCGCCGCCGGAGTTGCCGTCAACCCGGCTCGGCACCAATGCCTCCCGGGACTTGCAGCACCGGCAATCTGAGCCTGCGAGTCTGAGCGGCACGGGACGCTATGAAACAAATTGGCCGGGGGTGACCCCGTCGCTATCCGATGCTGTGCTGTGGCTCGAGGCGATGGTGAGACCATCTCTTCTCTCGCCGGTTATAGCCACGACCGCTGGCCCTGCCGTCTCGCCGCCAGTGGCGACATCGCCCATGGTTTCGTGGCTGAGCGCAACGGTGCCGGAGCTCACGCCGAGTGGCCAGCCGGTGCCAGCAGCAGGCGGCGGGCAGGCGGGGCAGCCGTCCTGGTCGTCGTTCTGGCAGCGGACGCCAGAGATGAGTTTGGTGACGACGTGGCATGAGCTGGTGGGCCGAGCGGGCTCACTCACGCAGCTACCACCGCCGCCGTCATCTCAGATTATTCAGAGTTGCCAGCCTCAGCGGGCGAGACACCCCGTGTCGTTTCCTGCTGAGTGGAGTGGCTCGACGGAGGACGCAGACGTTTCCTTTGCGCCGAGCGCGACGCAGGGTTCAGACTGCTCCTTCGGGGACTCGCTGCACGACGGCTCGCCGCTCGGGCACGGAACAATGGAACGCACACGTTCGCTGTCACCACAGCGTAGTGGCACGGCCATGCCCCACGACTTTTTCTCTTCTGTTTATGCAGCCGAGCAGGCCAGAGATGCATCATCGGTCTATGAAGTACAACATTTGGATGATTCGCAGCACGGATACAGAACGGAGAAGCCGGTGCACTCGTCGCCGATTTACGGCACAATCTCTCCCAGCGATTCACTCAGCGCTCACACGATGGAACGAGCCACTGATGCCTCGTCCCTTTTCAAAACGCGACAGCGAGGCGATCCGTCGCTCCTCTCTTGTGCGGCAGGGCCCACTGAATCACCTCCCGTGTACACAGCGGAACGGCGTGGGGATTCATCGTCTCTCTGCACGACGGCGCAACTCGATGACTTACCCTCCGGCCGCTCCTCCCCCCACGCCACACGCCAACCAACTCCTTCACCGTTGCTTTACGAAACGGAGCTGCTCGCCACCAGAGCCCAGCCCTCACGGCGGACGGAGCGAGCCGGCGATGTGATTTTCCTCCGCGAAGTTGGCGGCACCGGCAGCCCTCCGGCAAAAACTTTCGGGGCCCAACGGACCACTTTGCTCGCGGCGGAAGCGGGGGCAGTGCTTTCCCGCGTGCCGGCCGCATCTCAGCAGAGTTTCTCCACCGCTCCGAGCACCGCCGACAGGGGTGCCGTCCCCGGAGGATGGGGTCACGGAACCGGCACATCCGTCACGGTGACCTCCACCCCCAGCCCGGCGTCCGAGACAGCTCCGCTCGGAAGATCGATGGGACCAATTCCAGCGTCCTCAGCTCTGCTGTGGGATGCATCGCTGAGCCTTGCTTCCGATTTGCTTCCATCATTCATGCCACCGCTGCCCGCCGACTTGACTTATCGCCAGCCTCGCGAGCGCTTTACCACCGCAGCAGCCGCCTCCTCCTCCTCCTCCTCCACCCCCTCCGCTGGGAGCGACTCCCCGGCACCGCCGGCGACTCCCGGTGGCGCCACGGGACGAAGGGGCGGGGTCCAGCCTCCGCGATCCGACTCCGGCGCCCGTCCTCACGGCCCGGCCAAGTTCGACACCGGGTGCGGACGGGGGAGTTGCGGCATCGATCCAGCCGAGCCTCCGTTCCTCCACGTCTCCCGAGTTCCGGTTGTCACGCACGGCCGTTGCCAGTGATGCCGCCGCCACTGGCGCCGCTGGCACCACCAGTGCCATGACGACCGGGGAACCGGTGCCAGTGGAGGGCAGCGTCGTCGGGAGGAGAATTCGTTCGAGCTGGGGGGCCTGTGCCCCCCCCTGCGAGTCTGACCGTCGCTCCGTCACCTCGCTCTGCCCGCACGGAGGAGACCCCAGCGTTGGCGAGCGCAGGTGAGGGCCTGTCATCTCGGCCAGGCCCGAAGGCCGCACACACACACACTGCGACGTTTGTGATGGATAAGAGTTGACATGCTTATTGGATTGAGCAAGTCGATTGTAAAGGCCATGAGTGGATTAGTGTGTGAGTAGGTGAATGGGTGGGTGGCTGATTTTGTGGGTGGGTGATTTTGTGGGTGGGTGATTTTGTGGGTGGGTGATGGAGTTTTGTCAGCGGATGGTGAGTGGGTGAGTGGGCAGGTGGATGGGAGAGTGTGTTGTTGTGACCTGGTGGTTGAACACAGAATGCAGATGAGACGAACTAGCATCTGCTGGAACGAGTCCTCAACTTGGGAACAGGTGAGTGAAGTTCGTTGTAAAAAAAAATCAACACGTGGCAGTAGCAATAGAAGAGTGATGAGGAGGCTACTGACTGCCAGTGAGTTCTGGGTCAATGGCAAGTTCGTGCCATTGTGTGAGCGAGTACAAAGGCACGTGACGCGGCACACACACAAATGATGATCCCAAGAACAAGCATCAGCACCAACATTTTTAGAACAACCTTCGTTTCCTCTCCCTTTCTTCATATCTATATCTACATGAAATGTGTTTTTAGGTAAGCACACCAGGCCCGGTACGACGCGTCAGTGGTTTCTGGGGAGGCAGAAAAACCGCGACGGGGGAGAGGTGGGGAGGAGAGAGACTTTCCGGTGCCTGCCACGAATGAACTACAATACCTTGATGATCTCGTCAAGCAACATAAACCATAACGGGAACTCCGGTCATCCTTGCAGCAGCCGCTTTTGGCTCGGCATCGAACAAATGTGGTCACAGCATCGCGCGCTTTCAGATGGACTCATGCGGCCGTCTGGAATGCTCTTCATTCCGATTTTTTTTAGGAAGCGACTGGAGCTATGCAATTTTAAATAATCTAAATTGAAAACGCACGTCTTTGAAATAATTTTGTGTTCAGTTTGGTGTTCTTCCCCACGCATCTCCGATGAACACGGCTGACTGCGTACGATGCGAAAGCAGTTCAACTTACATAAATGCACGTGACATCACCCTGCCGCGTGCTTAGTGCACAATAGCTTTGCTTTTAAACCATCGACCTAAAACAAAATCTAAATGGTAACTTTTGACTCAGCCCATCATTCCCCTCTGGGGTCGTATCAACGAGTCCTATATCGTGATGGGAAGTCAACGGCAGTCGTCCTATGCAGAGACCACGTCCTGGCCATTAGAATGTGGAATTTCCACCACCGGCTCTTGCAGGGATGCGAGTGAAAGTCGAGCAGCCGATGACTCCCGATACCGATCTGAGCAGCAGGAAGTCACTTGCTCTCGACTTCCTTTGATCGGGAATCGAACTCGGTCGGGCAGGCTCACAACCCCCCCGTAAAAAACCTCTCCTCCATCCCGAGAGCCCCATCCACTCTCAGCTGACGATATAAAATGTCCACGCATCTCCGGTTACTGTCCCCGAGGCCTCTCCGCTTCTCTCTCTCGTTTTAGACTTCGGAGGAAGGGAAGGGGGGCCACCATCTGGCCTCAAACTCCACTTTTTACCCATTTTGAGCTTGTGGGACACACGGGTGTTCGGTAGCCGTGTGTCTAGCAGGGTGTTGCGCCCGTGTCCCCGCGTAAGGGGGGTCAGTCAGCCAAGATGCTTTTTTTGTTGTACTTGAAATGATGTTAAAAGTTTGGAGTAGGGCGTGCTGATGATTTTTTTCTAAGTATAACCAACCCGGTTTCAAGCCCTACAAGGTGGTCTCAACTGACGGAGGGATGTTTGGTGCCCCACACGTCATTAAAGAAGACCGATATCGTCTGATAAAAAAAATATAACCAATGTCCGGCCGTGACAAAAACGCATGTAAGTAGGTTTGTATTGTGCCTGAGGTACATCTTGGACGGTCAAGCGTGTAGTTGGGGTGAGGGTATCCATGAATTTCGCCTTTCTTTCCTTTGCCACATATGTGCCGTGCACCAATTTAAAACGCAAGAGTCTGAGCGGCAATGCTCTCGGGCGGGATTTCGAGGCTTGCGATATTTTGCCGCCGTTCCTGCGGTTGTGATCTCCTGGGAGGAGGATTTTCCTGGGTTGCTGATCTGGGTCTCAGTGGCCTTCCCCACCCAGCAGATGAAAAGCCTCCGCCCGTCTGTATTTTAAGATTCGGTTCTTCTGGCAGGCCTGCGATAGGGTGAGGGGCGTCCATCCAGGTTGTATGTCGGCAGGACTTTTGTTGCGATCCTTTGTTCGTTCGCTTGTTTCTTCCCTCGGCGTTCGTAAAAATCACGAAACTTTAGAAAATAATGCTGAAGCAGAAAATTCCTTCTAGATTTGAAGCTTTCGTGACTTCAAGGATTCATACTCTTAGGGTTTTTTTCCGGTAAAGTCACGTAGGTAAAAATAAATAATAAAAATAATAGAAATTAAATTATAAATCACGACGTTTCGGAGGCAAAAAAGTCTCCGTCATCAGGTGGGACCGTCACAGCTAGATTTACTGTATCAAGTGAGGCAAAAAAATTCAAGATACAAGTTCATAAATACAAGTTAAGGGGGGGGGGAGGAGGGGGGGAGGAGCTTATCTGAGTGTGGTAGCCAATGAATGGAACGTATTGGAGGGGGAGCGGGGCTAAAAGAGAACAATAGGTCACGTGCTAAAGGTGCACATGATGCTAGAAAAGAACGACAATGCACATGTTGTTTTACCCAGTGTTGGTGACAATCCAAAAACTAAAGAGGGAGAGTGCTGTTGAACGCTGGGGATGTGAGGCAAGATGCCAAGAGACGAGCCCTTAAATACAAGTTAAGGGGGAGGGGGGAGGGGCTTATCTGAATGTGGTAGCCAATTAATGGATTATTTCTATTATTATTTCTATAATTTTTATTATTTATTTTTACCCACGTGACTTTACCGAAAAAACCTAAGAGCATAAGATTGCTGCTGCAGACAAACCACATTTGCGATTTGTAACTCTGATCCTAACCCATATATTGATAGTTGAAGTTTAATGTGCAATTATGTTGAGTGGTTATTGTGCGTTGTCTTGGTGTGGTCTGGGACTGTTTTGTTGATTCGTTGCATCGCCCCAAGCTTGCATTTGGTGTTGACAAATCGACAGGAATTGATGTACCCGCACAATGTGTGGTTATTGCATTTGGGTTATATATTTATATATCTAGGTATTTATTTATTTACGAGTTCATAAAGCCTGTCTTCGCTGGGCAAAATATTGCAATAAATATAATAATTAGCTCGATATGATTTATTTACATTTTATGTGGGATCAGACGCTAACTATTCCAAAAAATATATTTTTCCGCAAGAAAAATAATTGTTGACGACTTGATTCAACTTCTTACATTTAAATACGTGCCTATCGCAAACGACTCAATTTAAAGATTACGTTTTTTTAATTAACTAGAAATAACAAACATTAATGAACGCAATACTATATGAGGGGAAGCCGCATGAATCAGAAATATCTCCAAAACAATGAAAGATAGAAAAATTGTTTCTCCCCTTAATGTTATTTGCTGTATAACGCTCTATCAAGCATAAAAGACGCAATAATATATTTTGAACGGTTTCTGAATGAAAGGCACAAACATGTTTATAGGGCACTTAAATTCGAGATTTGGGGGCCTCACAAACACGTGTGTGTGTGTGTACAATATGCCATCCTGTAGCGGTTAACACGGTGAGCTATGGACCCAACGACTCAATATCAATTCTCTGCTCGTGACCGATAACAGTTGCGAATATTTGAACCGATCTTGGGGCTCCCCTAGGCCGAGTCAGCCTCAAATGAGTATCTAGTGCAGAGTGTAAGCATTGCTACCGGGGAGACAAAGGCGGCCGGACGTGGTGCTGGTCACCCACCCCCTTGAGCGCCGTGCCGGCCTTCGAAGAGATGTTAAAGGTTAATACTGGTAGGAACCCACTGGTTTCACCAGCCCACAGGGGATTATTGTGTCCGTCCGTCCGTCGTGCAGGGAAGGGCTGGGAGGGGAGGGAGGGGTAGAGTGGGGAGGGGTGGGTGGGGAGAGGCTGGGTGGGGAGGGTGGGGCTGGGTGGGGAGGAAAGGGTGGGGAGGGGTTGGGTAGGGAGGGTGGGGAGGGTGGGGAAGGTGGGGAGGGACTGGGTGGGGAGGGTGGGCCTGGGTGGGGAGTGGGAGGGGTGGGGCTGGGTGGGGAGCCCTTATAAAACTCAACGTTTAACCTACTCACGCCGGCTTGTGCCCGCCCTCACAGTCGGGCATATTTGCGGAATACACCACGCCGCCGTTGACCCTGGCCATTGACCTAGCAACCCAACGTTCCTACCAGCTCCCTCCGCAGGAATGCGTTCGGGGTTCTTTGTATTTGTACGCTATGCATTATAACAATAGCATTATACAACTCTGTGTCAATCTACCCCTGGATGAAGACCTCCCCGTACCGTGTCGGTCATAGGGGTCGTTTGACCATACTTCACCACGCGTCTAATCCCCGGATTAACGAAAGGGCTGGACGCGTCCAGGATGGGATTACTGGGTTCAAGAGGGGAGTGCCCTAACCACTGCGCCACCGCTCCACCCTATAAAGAAGAGTGCCCAACCCGGCACAAGAATACAGCGGTATTCATACATGCGCAGTGATAATGGCGTGCATTTGCAGCATCATCATCATCAGCAGACATTGTTTATCCACTGCTGGATGATGGCCTTGCACGCGATGCCACCACCCGTCTCCCTCCCACGTGCGAGCCGATCACGTGGCTCCGCCATTGCAACGGCTCACCCCTCTTTGGTACGATTCCTCTTCCGGCTGCCGTTTCATAATCATCGGCCACCGACGTCTCTTCTGTTGCCACGACGTGTCCCCCGACCCAGCCGACTTTCCCGCACGGTCAATGTGTTGCCTTTGACGCGAGTTTTGTTAAGCGGTCCCTTTTTTCCCCTCCCTTCCTCTCAGTGCAATTACCAGCGACGCAGATCGCTATGCGTCTGGATTTAAGCTCCTG